ATGCTAAGGACGGGTGCCATGAGCATAGCCGTCTTAAGTGCTTGGAATGATTGGCGTGCGTCGTCATCGAATACGAATGGCACCTTTGGCGACTATAACCTCGTCATAGGTGCAACAATCCTGGAGTATCCGGTGATGAATCGCTGATAGTAGCCCGCCAACCCCATGAATGAACGAACGTTCGTGGTGTTGGTGGGCTCGGGCCATACTCGTAGGGCCTCGATCTTGTCCGCAAGCGGACGGATGCCTTGCGGCGTCACATAGTGTCCCAAGTACTCCAGCTCCTGCTGTGCGAACTCGCACTTGTCGCAGTTTGCTTTGTACTTGGCCTGTCGTAGCCGCTCCAAAACGGTGCGCAGGTGTTCCACATGCTCGTCCAGACTCCGGCTATAAACCGGAATGCCGTCGAGGTAGATAAGCACGAAATGATCCAGCATGTGTCGGAACTCCGTCGTCATAACCGCTCGGAAAGTGGTTGGGGCATTCGTAAGGCCAAATGGCATGACCAGCCATTCGAAATGCCCATACCGAGTCTTGAACACGGTCTTGTAGCGATCCTCCTTGCGAATCTCGAGTTGGTGGTACCCTGACTTGAGATCCAGCTTAGAGAAGAACTGGGCGCCGCCCAATCGCTCGAGAAGGTCGTCGATGCGTGGGAGAGGGCCGACGTTCCTGATCGTCTGTGCGTTGAGCTTGCGATAATCGATGCACAACCGCAGGTCCTTGTTCTTCTTCCGGACGAAGAGAACCGGTCGATGACTTGTGCGTATGACCGTCTGCCAGAGTGACTTGCGTAGGCTGGGACTTCCTCCGGACACGTGGGCCAAGGCCGGCGCGTACCATGAAGTCCTGGCTGATGTAGTTGCGAGATGCTCCGCAATCGATCAAGGCATTGCATGTCGCCTCTCCGATATGAATGCGTACGTATAGCAATGGTGGGTCGATGTCGTCGTACCGTTGTGTCTTGAACTCGCGGTCGATCTTCGCGATGTAAACGTGAAGGTCGACAACCTCTACTCCGACGTCCATCAACGGAGCTGGTACTGCAGTGTGCAAGCAGTCACGCAATTGTGCCATAAGCACGTTGCAATGCGGTTTCGGCAATCGTCCGGTCGAGGGAACGGGCATCCATTGGAAGTCCGTGAACGTCAACTGGTCGAGCTCATCAAGTCTTGACCATGACGTCGAATCCCCGACGATAGATTGCGGCGAAGCTGCCGAATCGGTTGCCGATGGTGATGAAACCGTGCATGCGGTGAACTGTTGCACGTGGAGTGGTTGGTCCAAGTGGACAGCATAGTCCTCGTAAGTGTACCGAGGACTTGCGACATTCGCATCCTCCCCAGATGTGCAGGAGGCCGCTAGCAAGGCGACCGAATCTGGCGGAGTAGAAGGTGGAGTCGCCTCACCTTCCGCGAAGCTCAGTTTCCCGAGCTGAGGCGGGGTCGCACATCCTCCTTGCCCTGATCTTGGCACAGGGAGGTCTTGTGCTTGGTGCTGTTGCACCAATAGCAGTTGCCGTAGCGGCCGCGGACCTTGTACTCCGCCTCGGTCAAGCCAAACTTGACCCATGAAAACTGTCATGGCTGTCCATTTCCGGCCTGCGATGCGGATTTCGCCTTCCCATTGTTGCGCGACTAGTTGGTGCTTCGAGGCTGGACAGCGGCCACCTGAACTCCGTCACTTGATGCTGGAGTGGCTGCTGGGTTATCTCCACTGTCCTGCTGGACTGCAGCGAAGTGCTGCTGTCGCGGACCAGTTCGTWCCTTCTCCACATAGGTCGGCTGCCATGATGTTGATTTCTCGTGTGCAGCTGACCTGTTGGTCTTGATGATCTCCCTCGCTTTGTCAATGATCTCCGCGAAGGTTGAGTACTGCTCGCGATCACCAAGAGCCTGGCTCAATGCAGCACAAGACCTGTTGTAGAACTCACGGCGTAGATGCTCAAATGGTAAGTTCAGATTTGGCACAGCCGCAATCTTCTGCCACTCCGTGAGCCGGTCCCGTGTTGCTGTGTTGCCCTGTGACATGGTGAACAAACGGTTGATGGCGAGTGTCGGCGCGTCGTCGACGATGAACCGCTTCTTCCACAGCCGTGTCAGTTCCTCCCATGTGATTACGTCCTTCAAGTCTGGTACGTCGACGCCATGGGAGGTTGCCAGGTGGCTCAACCAGGTCTGGCATCCGCCCTTTGAGTTCAGGAACAGGATGCCGATGTACGCATGCTTGGCTACGGGCAGAATCCTGATTTGCGTTGTGAATGCTTCCCACCAGAGGACCGGATCCTGCTGCGTGTAGTCGTCAAACCTCTCCAGATTGAAGGTTGGCATCTTATACATCTTCGGATTGCCATCCCCGTTCGTCGTCTGCAGCTGCTGGACCTCGGTCTTCAATGTATGCAGCTGACTGCTGATGGTGGTGGTCGGCGCAGCGAAGGTGCTGATGTCGC